GTAGTATTTCCAGCAGACATCTGGGAAGTTGAAGTCCCCCACGAGAACAAGGGCAGATGATCGCAAGACTTCTGCCAGCTGTTTATAGAATAATTCATCAGATTCTACATCCTGATTAGGGGGCCTATAGCAAACTCCCATCACGATGTCTGCCTTGTTGGCCTTCCCCTTAATTCTTATCCATACACACTCAACACTGTGATCCACACTGCTAAATTCTAAACATTCAAAACTGGCCCTAACATAGAGGGCTACCCCACCACCTTGCTTTCCTTGCCTATCCCTTTTGAAAAGCTGGTAGCCATCGATCACAGCACTCCACTTGTGTGTGTCTTCCCACCACATCTCTGTTATGGCAATTATATCATAGTTTCCTTGCTGTACAATGGCCTCCAGCTCCTCCTGTTTATTCCCCATGCTGTGTGCATTAGTGTAGATGCACTTCAGCTGGGCTAATTGTCCTGCCACCTTCTTGGGAGGACAAGCCTTAATTCGCACCTGATCATGCTCACACACTTCTGTAGCTACCAAATTATAACTACCCCTCCTGTCTTTGCTGCCATACAAACCACCATCCCCTGCCGTCACTGAGATGGACTGCAAGACCTTGCTAACGCTTTTACCCAGAAGTACTGGTATGCTGCTCCCAGGCACCACATTTGTAATCCTGGTACATGATACAACTGAAATGAATGACTACTTTTGTGTTACACTGTTAACACCCGTTAGTTAATGGTAAGTATGAGCAAAGATTTTGAAATTGACTTCAATGATTAATTTACTCTGGGAGATAAAATACTGACATTGGCAGCCCACTAAAAACCTTCATCTTCAGACATAAATTCAGTCTTTAATATGGACTTCTTCAGCTCTAAGGCTTTGCTAACCCAAAACATGATTCCCTACAAACCTTCCTGCAAGATCACGCGTAGAGAATTTGAGGCATTTTGACAACAATTCAATAACCATTTGAGAAAATCCTATTGTTAGTAATGATTGCCTGATAAGTCAAGCAATTAGGAATGAATCTATTGGACAGCAATGAGACAGGTGCCAAGGGGAACTCATATGATATCTAAGAAATGCCAAACTTCTGATAAAAACTGTTAACATGAGTTAGTGTTAAACTATTGTCTAGACTTGTCACAATAAAATTATTCTTTTTTGTGACTTTTGACAATTGCAGCTTGGAGAAAAAACAAAGACAAAAAGAAAGAAACTCATAAAACATGTTTTGAATTTTCCAGAGAAGCATGCTGCTTTGCTTACTCTAAGCAACATCTTTTACAAGACACTGAGACAAAGCAATGTTGGAGCACGATACTTTGCCACCTAACAAAATCTGTAATTTCTGAATTCCTGTACGTAATGCCATGACATCTGTTTACGCAGACACAAGATCATCATTCATCCACAAATGCAACAAAGCTTTCCTTGTGCGCCACGCTGATTATAGTCAATTGACATAGCCAATATATTCTGCTCGGCAGGATCTAACATACCTTCTCAGGACAGTTTATCAATTTGGGCCTCATGCCACAGTAATGCAACTTCAAGAAGACTTGTGAAGTCAGCTGGGACCCAACGTGGACACTGAGGTGAGTTCTTTACTTAGGGTTTTACCTGACCAGGGTTTCCAGGTCCAAATTCTAGGCAGAGCTGGGGCTGTGATGACGTGGGTGAAAGCAAAACAGTGATGATCCTGGCAGTACTGGTTAAGATAGGAACACATGGACCATGCCATGCCCAAAGGACATAATTTTCTCCCCCCTCAATGTAATTATTAGTGTCAGCTCCCTCCAGCCCAGATTTTTAATTCACTCTATCTGCACAATAACCGTATTCCAGAACGGAGCACCCCTTGGGTTACATCTGGATCCAAATAGCAAACCTAGTTGCATACATATAAATCAGTACAGACTAGAAAAAGCAAACCTGTATCTACTTAAAAATATATTCTGCAGACACAATACAAGGAACCCAGGAAGAAAATATGTCCAGAACCTAAATTAGATCGAGCTCCAGTAAGGAACTTTTACCTGCTTAAAATTCAGCCTTGAACTGACTTCCCCTGGAGTTTTGTACCAAAAGCCTTTCTTGCTGAGGATGGTTCAGTTTATTTTCAAACACAGCTGGTGGAGATGGCAATTATCCTTTAAACTCAATAAAGCCAGTGGCCAGATCTGTTATCCAGTCTGTGAAAGTCTGGACAAGGTTAGGTGGCTCATATTCTGAAGTTCCAGCAAAACAAATTTAAATCTTATTCTGGTGATCCATATGACCTCTGCAAGACAACAATTACAGATGGTGAAAAAATGACTTTTGTTTCATCTCTAACATTAGGAGCTTTAAAAAAAAAAAAACCAGTTATATGCAATAAGCACTTTGAAATCAATACAGTAGTATTTACCTCTAATATATCTGTAATTTATCACTCATATCTGCAGTTTGTTCTGTGTTACAGCAAGGTATTCTAGGCTGAGCCTTCCACAATTTGTAGTCATTCAGATTTCTAAGAACACTGGTTCTTAGTTTCTGGTTTATCTATTTTATATCTATCTGGTTTAAGAGAGCAAAGCACTCTGCTGTGAATTCCTGTACTGTTTGTGCCATCTGGTGGTCAAGAAGGATGTGAAGGGCGCTGCATTTCAGCCTGCAGGAATGGCTCTTTGGCAGAGTACACAGAGCCAAGAAGCAGGACACTCGAAGGAATGGTCACGCTGGAATGGAGGAGCAGCAGGGAGCTCCAGCTGGAAGGAGCTGCCTACAAGAGCTCCAAGAAACTGTGCCCTGGACATGAGGGGCTCCCAAATTTGGCCCACTCGCTAGCGCTGCTGGGCTGGTGACAATCCAGAGGATTTCCGCCGTCTTTGGGCCCATGGGGGGGAACAGCCAGCGGACCAGGTGGCTACTGAAGATGCAGGACTTGACCGAAGGCACGGCTGTGTCCTTTATCCCCAGGGTCGGCGCTGGGGATTCTTCAAGCCTGAAAGCGTCATCAGTTTTAGAGCTGGAAGTCGGCACTGAACGTTTCCAGCGGCCCGTGCTGCGTGCCCTGGGATGCCAGCGGAGCC